TAACAGTAAGAATGTATCTCTCTGCAAAAGTACAAAAACATCAACAGAGTGATGGAGGAGCTAAGGACTCTAGATTCATGGAAAGAGGGGCAGAGAGCTGGTGGCCAGGAGGCAGACTTGCAGAATGTGCCCTTTGGTGGTATAAATTATTATACATGCCTGAGTGTTTAAAAAAAACAACAAAAAAAAAAATGCTAAAATGAGTAGAAATACTGTTAACTAGCATAGTGGTTACGAATCTGGCTGCTAATCTCACCGTCAGCAGTTCGAAACTACCAGCTGTTCCGCAAGAGAAAGATGAGGCTTTCTGCTCCCGTAAAGATTTACAGCCTCGGAAACCCTCTGCAGGGTCACTAGGGGTCGGAATCAACTCAACGGCACATAACAACAAAAACAATGGTACATGGAGGGAATTATAGCCCTTGTAATGAAACAAAGTAGTATATGATTTGTTTAATGTAAAACTGATGATCTGCCCTGTAAACTTTCACTTAATTCACAATAAAAACTTTAAAATATATATATACATATATATATCAACAACTTAATAACTGTATAGTTTGAAAAAGTAAAATGTAATTTACTTTCTGACTGCTGACATTAATTTCAGAATGGCAGCTATTCAAACATAGCAATATTCAAACTTAGAATAAATTCTTAAGCATGAAAACACTTAGGAGTTGCAAATTCAATTATAAATCTATAATACAGAAACTGTAAAATAACATTCTTAACTAAAAAACATAAAAAGCAAAAATGTCTGTTATCCATTTAGAGCTCCAAGTTTTTGCTCAAGGAAAACTTGCCAGTATTTAAAATGTTTTATCAACCTAACTTTCTACCTCACAAGAAAATTGTGAATACAAAAATCCTGAAATAAAGCTAGAATTTAGTATCAGTGTTTTCCATTACCATATAAAGATAATGGAAATAAAAATGCAATGTTTTCTTTTGCCTATCTTAGTATGAAAACACACCATAGGAATATTCAATCAACTTGGTTAATGAGCTTGGCTGCTAACCAAAAGGTTCATGGTTTGAACCCATCAATCGCTATGTGGGAAAAAGATTCTTTGGTAGTCAAGTTTCCACAAAAATATATAGCCTTGGAAACCCTATGGGACAGCGCTCCTCTGACCTATAGGGTCCCTAGGGTCACTTTGAGTTGGAATTGGCTCCAGGGCTGAGGTTTTTTTTGTTTTCTTTTTGGTGGTGGTAGTCATAAGGTATATTTCAAGGCAATTTTTTAAAAAACCTCATCATACCCAATAGCTTCAATTTCCTTCTATATTAAACCTTTTATCAGGATCATAAACAAATATTCCAGAATTCTTAAATTATTTCAGTAAACATCTGAACTGTTGAATATAAAACATATTTTGCTAAGCATTTACACATACTTTATTTCAAAATAGTTAAGGCTCACATCAATTATGTGACAAAATATTCACTTTACATAAAACAAGGCTGGAGGAGCCAATTCAAAGCCACCAGTCACTTCGTGGGAGAAAGATGAGGCTGTCTGCTCTTGTAAAGATGTACAGCCTCAGAAACCCTAGCTACATAGGGTCATTAAGCATCAGAACCCCCTTGACAGCACATTGAAGCAGCAGCAGCAGCAGCAGCAGCAGCATCTAACAAGGCTGGGAGTCCTGGTGTGGCACTGTAGGATAATTACTGGGCTGTTAACTGCAAGGTCAGCAGTTCAAACCCACCAGCAATTCCTTGAAATTCCTATACAGATTTCTGAGTCAAAACCTACTTAATGCAATTTAACAACAAACAAGGCTGAGAAAAGTTAAAGTAACTCATCGCTGCTGAAAAAGCTTTTAAGAAAGACAGTCTGTTTTTGAACTAAGGGTTTTTGACTATTGTCTTTATTAAGTGCCGTTGAGTCACTTCTGACTCGTAGTGACCCTATAGTGGGTTTCCGAGGAGCAGCTGGTGGGTTTGAACCACTGACCTTAAGGTTCAAACTGACCTTACAGTCCAGTATATTATCTTGCAGCACCATACCAGGACACCTATATCCTGTTGCTTTGTTTGTTAATCACATACTATCTTATATTTGTACTTTTACTTTTTGACTTTTACTCATATATTTAATTTTTTTCCTCTGTATGAACATGCTATTTAAATACAATTATGTTATTCTTTGCTATTTTAATGTGCATTAGCAGATTGACTCGAGTTGCTTGTTGGTAAAAGAAAGATGGACTGTCTAAGTTAGGGTAAGTTTTTAAAATTCTCAGTTTCACTATTGAAAAACAGAAATGAAACTAAAATTGTTTTGCTTACTTTTAATGCTTTATATATACAGTAAAACCTGCAAAATTCAGAACCTGTGCAAGGCAGAAACTTGCCAGCGAAGGAAAAATCAAATGTTTTCCACTAATAGATAAAAAGTGGTTAAGATCAGACTGTGTCAAAGGTAGAAAACTTGTAAGACCTGGAAAAACAAGAGAGTTCCAGTTGTTACAAGTTTTGTTGTATTAACCCATGCAGTCCTCATAGCAGCTCTATGAGACTGACACATCACTGTCCCCATTTATAGGTGAAAAAGCTAGAGGGTTTTAGATTATAAAGGTTTCAAACTATTAAGTGGAAGAGACAGGCTTCAAAAGTCAAAGCATTCTATCTTAACTGCCTACTCACTTAAGGTCAAAACTGTCCCTGTAGGACTACTAGTTAATGACTGTATGAAATAATTTATTCATACAGTAAGAAAAAAACAAATCTTTCATCCAATCAATTGCCATGCATGAAAACCCACGGGTTGCAGAGTAGAGCTGTGCTCCGTAGGGTTTTCAATGGCTGTGACTTTTGAGAAGTAGAGATTTCTTCTGAGGTGTGTCTGGGTGGATCTGAACCTCCAACTTTTGGTCAGTAGCAGAGTTCAACTGTTTGCACCACCCAAGGGCTCTATTCATACAGTTGTTGTTGTCAAGTGCCTTTGAGTCGATTCCGACTCATAGTGACCCTGTATAGTTGCTGTTGTCAGGTGCCATCGAGTCAGAACCGACTCACAGCGACTCCATGCACAGCAGAACTAAATAATGTCTGATCCTGGGCCAACCTCACTGCCGCCACACTTGACGCCATCAGTGAAGCCACCTGGCTGATCCATCTCGTTGGGGGTCTTCCTCTTTTTCTCTGACCCTCTACCTACCCAGCATGACGTCCTTCTTCAGTGACTGTTTTCTCCGAACAATGTATAGTAGGGAGATTAAAAATTTAGTAAATTATTTTCCTTCACTTCCCTTTCCTATTCTGATGATCACAGGCAATGGGCAATGTAATGTAAGGGACGTTTTTGTTGTTGTTAAGTACCCTGGAGTCGGTTCTGACTCATAGTGACCCTGCACTGGGTTTCCAAGGCTGTACATCTTTACGGGAGCAGAACACCTCACCTTTCTCCTGTGGAACCACTGGTAGTTTCGAACTGCTGACCTTGAGGTTAGCAGCCCAATTCGTAACCACTACGCTACCAGAGCTTCTTAATGTAAGGGACAGCGAAAAGCAAAGAATGCACGGGCCTCAACAATGTAGAAAAAAATTAAGCAGACAATAAAATAGGTAGCCCTACATTAATACATCACTAACTTTCTTCTTAAAGAGCTCTGGTAGCATAGTGGTTATGAATTTGGCTGCTAATCTTATGATCAGCAGTTCAAAACTACCAGCTGCTCCGCGGGAGAAACATGAGGCTTTCTGCTTGGATGAGGATTTGCAGCCTCGGAAACCCTGTGCAGGGTCACTATGAGTCGGAACTGACTCCATGGTACTTAACAACTTTCTTCTTAATCTGTTAACACTTTGAAACTCATGGAAAACAGTATCCTCTTGGCAAGGTAACAGAGTGTAATGGCTAAAGGTCTTTAAAAGTCCAACAGCTCAATTATTATTCTGACTTTCCCATTATATAATTACTGTATGAGGGTTCTGGTGTGGTGCTGGAGGATAAGTACTGGACTGCTAACCTCAAGGTCTGCGGTTCGAACCCAAGCTGCTCCTCAGAAACCCTACGCAGGATCGCTATTAGTCGGAACCGACACAACAGCACTTAAAAATTACTGTGTGACTTTCAGTCAGATATTTTCTTTCATTCACTGGTCAAAAACGTCTGTTTCCATATGGGTAAACCTAGGCAAATGAATCCTGTACATGGGATCGACTGTTGGAAGGAATAAAGGAAATAATGCATATTAAAACACTTAGCACACACAACTAATGGTACTTTGCAAATGCTCTATAAATGTGAACTATTAATAGTTTGAAGTCTAGAAAGTCGGACAATGAACAAAGTGAATTCAACTATAAGAAGTCCATTACTCTATTCCTTGGAGATTTGCTTAATTTACTGATAAATATATGGTGTTATCAATTCAGGTTTTATTTAGACAATCACTACTGACTCGATGATTCTTGCCAAATGTGCGCTCTTCTCTTACAGGGAAAAACAAAGTCATCTCAGGGATACGAAATTGTTTGTTTGGGAAACCGTTTTCTACCCCAGAGGCAGGTGGAACCTGAGGTCTGCAAATTAACCACTAGAGTTCTCCGTGGCTCTCACTTCATTAGCATGCAAGGCCTAATTTGGTGAGAATAGGGAGGAAGGGGGCAACATAACCAAATACCTAGATATAAATAAAGTACCACTCGGGTAAAATGGGGTCAGGCCGATCTCCTCCCAGAAGGATGAGAACTGGACACTTAGGAAAACGGATACCGGAACTGACAACCCCCGCCTGTCAGCTGCGAGCCAGCAACCCGCAGGCAGGCTGGTGCAGAGGGAATCTCAGGGCGCCCGTTCCGAGCCAGGCCCGGGGCGGCCGAGGCCTGGCTCGGGGCAGGGGGTGTGTCGGGAAGTACCTCCCTCGGACCCCTTCCGGGATCCAGGAGGCCCGGGGCCCCGCCAGCCCCGGAGGGACAAGGATGGGGACCTGGGACTGGGTTCGAGGAGCTGAGGCCAGGGAGGAAAGGGCCTTTGAGGTCCTCACCGCGGGCCGAAGGCAGTGGGTAGAGCTTCTCGGCCTTCTGCAGGAATCGCTGGGCCTTCTCGCGGTTGCCGGCATTCAGAGCTTCCCTAGCGATCTCGACACATTTCTCCGCCTCATCCCGGTTCCCCTCCATGGCTTGTGCCTTCTTGCGTTTCCTCTGGTAGTGCAGTTGCGAGGGGCGGAAGCCACCGCCACCGAGAAAGTAAGGCCAGGCCCAGGCGGGGGCGTGCGGCGGAGAGCAGGGAGGAGCGCCAGGGACCGCGGTGGCCCGGGTGGCGGACAGGCGGGCGGTCCTCGCAGCTCCGCCTCCTCACGGCGGCCTCCCCGCCCCCAGCGGGCCGCTAAGGCGCGAGCTGCATCCCTTCCGGCCCGGGTACTGAACTCCTAGGCCTGGGTGTCGGAGTTGATTCGGCGGCGTGTGCGTGGCACTAAGGTTGTGGCCTGCGCTAGCCAACCAACCCGTGGCAGGGATGTGAAGGGAAGAGAGGAGCGGGTGATACCAGCCCGGCTGCTCGGCAAGAATGTTCCGCAGCGGCAGAGACCCGGTCGCCGGCATTGGGCAACCTCTGGTGGACCGAAGCCCGCCTCTAGGAGCCCAGAGCGACTAAATGGGAGGGGGTGCTCGGTTTTCGTTTAAATTCCCAGGACTTGAAGGCCCCGCCCCTAAGGGAAGTATTTGGTCAGGTGAAGATCTTGCCTCAGACCCTACACAGAGCTTCCGGAAGGTGTTCATGGTAGTGTTGTTTGACCTTAAACCCGGTACTTTTTCATTGCTTTTTTACTTCAGTTACTTACTAGCTTTCTGACCCAGATTTCATTAGATTGTTAGGCCAGTCAAAAAGACAAAGTAGTTCCGTTTGTATTTTTTCTGGTGAAGAACAGCTGTAACACTAACCCTAGACAGACCTGATCTAAACAAAGCAGGAACCAGCCCTTTCATAATGCATGTTGTTCAACACCAATGAGTCATTCCGATTTGGCCACCCTGTATAGCGTTTCCAAGTAACAGCTGACGATGAGCTTGAACACAACCATCAGTTTCCTCTCCTTTTCCCAGTTTTGACTGTACTACCCGTGAATTATGTCAGTTTCTTCAGGGTAGAAAGGGGGAGAGTGATTTTTTGGTAATATCTACATCCAAATTTTTTGGTTAACAACTCACTTGTGTCAAAATGGTTCTCTATTCACAACCATGAGAGGGAATTTCTAAGTTTGTGTAAATTTAAAATTGTATGTAATTTTTCACTTTTTATAACCCCTTGTACACAATGTTGCCAAACATCAACTACCATATTGAGTACTTTTATCATCTGTAAAATTAAGTGCCAGATTCAATTCCATCTCATAGCAATCCTGTACAGGGTTTCTGAGTAACTTGGTGGGTTTAAACCACCAATTTTGTGGTTCTACACCCCCTAAGTATCTTTTAATTTCCCTGTGTTTAAAAAAAAAAAAAAAACCTGCCTGGCCCCAAAAGCATCACACTTCCTAAGCTATAATCTTCTCCTAGTAAAATACAGCAGGCTGCATTATTGTCACAGAGCAAACAGCCAATGTACAATCTGAGATGGCTAAGCCTAAAACAGCAACACCTTAGCTCACCCAACTGCTGCCAAAGCCCATTATTTAACATTAAAAAAAATAAAAATCATACTATGGCCACTTTACTGTTGATCAGCAAGTTTAATTCCAAGGTTAGAAACATGCTTTATAATGGCTGGATTCAATAAATTCTTGTTAAAATCAGGCAAATTAAAAACAACAGCTAGTTTGGGATATGACCTTTATTGAGCTTATCCACCAGAGTGGAAATAATGTCTGTACAAAACCAAATGTTTGTTACTATAACTTCTGCATCACAATTAAAATCCAAACAGTTTTTTAAAAACAGTCAACTCAATCAAAACCCACTACTTCAGAATCAATAGCTTCTTTGAAGCCACAGTAACACTTAAATATGGTTAAGACTCGAATGCAGAAATTTGGTTGGTTGAAAAGCTAATTAAACTTCCAACTTGCTCAAATAGAATTACAAAAAGGCAAAATTGTGTTTTGTTTTTTTTTCACAGAGATACAGTCCACTGGAATCACCAACACTGGACAGCTGTTAGAGTATTTAGAGTCCTGAGATAATAAGGAATCCAGGCATCCTTTAGACAGTCTTCTGTTGTCCTTTCTTCCCAATCAGAGATTTGTGGATGTGTGGGATGACACCTAGGAAAGGGAAAAGGAAAAACTTGACTTTATACATTTTCAAATCAAAATAGAAAACAAGATTAACTTAATCAACTTTCAAACTTCACATATTTGCATCCGTGAAAATGTGTTTTGTGTTCTTTTAGATTCTAACAATTCAAATTAAAATGCAAATAATTCTGGTCTCAAAATCCATTAAAAAATTACATTTTAGTAGTTACATACCACCACCAGCAATTGTAGCCTTGATAAGGGAGTCCAACTCTTCATCTCCTCGAATAGCAAGTTGCAAGTGACGAGGGGTAATGCGCTTTACCTTTAAGTCTTTTGATGCATTTCCTGCCAGTTCAAGAACCTACAAGGCATAATCTTATTAATCTCTTGCCGACTCTGTTTAGGACAAGATCCAAAGCAGAATCAAACCGTTGTTGCCCTTCACCACCTTAATGGCAAGATTAGCAAAAGGAGCACCCAATTATTTACAGTAGCAGCAAACAAACTCTAAAGAAATCCTTATTGAGCACCAGCTCCCTCTAGCGTTCTCAGTTCATTTAAGGCCTGGGAGTTTTCTTGCATCACTTTCCTCCTTCTCTCTCACCGCCCCCCCTCCCCAAAATCTTTTCCAGATTATAGGCGTACACCCATTTACCTCTGCGGTTAGGTACTCCAGGATGGCTGCGCTGTACACAGCGGCAGTCGCGCCCACACGCCCGTGGCTGGTCGTCCTAGATTTTAGGTGTCGATGAATACGGCCCACCGGGAACTTAATTTTAAACACACACAAACATATATGCTCAAGATGTAAGGGTCAAAGTCAGGAAAATGATACACGCGCGCCAAAGCAATGAGCATGGGCGAAGCTGGTGGTGCAGCAACACGCTCCAGCATCTACACACGTGATCGCCCCCCTCCCTTTCCGATATTTATCATTATCTGCAACCCAAGTCGCGACACCTCGCCGCCCACAAAAAGACCAAATGCCCAATACAGCGCGATGATAAACATGAAAGGAGGAGTGAAACAAAACCGCCACGACTCCAAAGACTGCACCAACAACTACTGACCTGCAAGCCGGCTCTCTGCGAGCGGGAAACCGCCTTTGTCTTGGCCTTTCCGGAGTCCTTCCCCGCCTTACCGCCAGCCTGCGGCGCGCACACGCCCGCGAGCGGAGGAGGAACGGAGAATATAGGATTACCAGGACGGCGCGCCCCTCCCCCACCGCCGCGCGGCTCGGGAGGGAGCGCGGCCCCGCTAGGGTC